CCAAGATTTCAGGAGACATGCCACCTTCCCCCACCAAATAAGTTTCTAATCAAATGCCAGAATGAAGCGTCAGAACCTGCCAAATTTCCTCCTTGGCTGCCTTAACTATTTAAATCATTCCTTTTTATTGCATCTGACTAGGCTGAGAACAATAATGGAAATGCCCACCGACTGATGATTCTGGCAATTTTGTGAATTATCACATAAAGTGAAATGCTGAACTACATTCCTTTCTCTGTGGGGTTCATATTCACACTCCTACCCATGCTCAGCACCCACAATGAGCCCATCATCATCACTGCCAACCCTCTGCTTGGCGTGACCATAGCCGCAAAACTATACTGCTGCCGATTAGACTGTGGCATGCTACTCATTCTGCATTTTAAAAGACTGAAAAGGGGAATAACCTATTTAAGAAAATCATTCAGATTTGTATAACTCCTTCCTTCTTTCTTTTCTTCTTTTTCTTCTTTCCTTTCTTTTTCTTCAAGAAACTTGAGGTGATTAGCTTCCATCAGGATTGTACCATAGCAACGAAAAGACACACTCCAGAGACTCCCCATAGAATTTTTGCCTGTGGCCCCAGGTTGCATATTTTACTTACTTCCCGGTAGGAAATGAGCTAGGTGTGATGAGATGACTAAGACAGTAACTGGCAGACATCTCCGATTCAGTGATGGGAGTTATCAGATTGGAAGCGTTTAGGAGGCACAGCGTGTCCTGAAAAAATTTCTAAGGTTGCCCACTCAAAAAAAAAAAAAAAAAAAAAAAGGAGGGGAATGTATTTTGGAAGATTTCTTGGTGCAAAATTAAAAGCAGTAGACATTAACTATAGCTCAGTTAATGGGGAATTGTACATCGTTGAGGAAAACAAAATGGAGGGGATGTGTCAAAAGTATAACGAGGGGCACCTGGGTGGATCAGATGGTTAAGCGTTTGCCTTCGGCTCAGGTCATGATCCCAGGGTTCTGGGATCGAGCCCCACATCGGGCTCCTGACTCAGCGGGGAGTCTGCTTCTTCCTTTCCCTCTGCCTCTCCCACTGCTCATGCTCTCTCTCTCTCTGTATCTCTGCGTCTCAAATGAATAAATAAAATCTTTAAAAAAAAAAAAAGTATAACGAACTAGAGAAAGAAATGAGGTCAAAATTGTTGATTTGTTCCAAAGGCATTTCTTGAGCACTTACTACATACCGGTCTCCATGTTATATGCTGATCATATAAAGATGAATTTGTCTTTGTCCCTTAGGTTGTGAAGCTAATCCTGGTATATTAAAATGTAAAGAGATTAGTTCTCTTAGACAGTAGTGAAAATGCTTCCAAAGTTGGGGTAGTCACTTTCTCTGTACTCTTGTGGTATTTCTTTTGTATGGCAATTTCCAAAGGTACTAAAGGCATTGCTTTTTTGGAGGTAAGCTACTAACAATCTGGACAGTAAACCCACATATTATTTAGGAAAAAATTTGAAAATAGTGTGATGTTCTGTAAAGGAAAAGAAAGACCTGTATTGACTTCTCTAACTCACTGAAGAACTCTAGATTTCTGCATAGCTCCCTTTCAGTAGCAGATGGGTTTTTTATATCAGTATTCTCTTGCCCATCATTTATGAACCCACTAAATAATTTTACTTTTTAAATACCGTACACAACTCAGAAAGTTCTTTGTGCTTTTACAGATGTTATCAACCCACTTAGCCTCCTTAATCCTCCAAAATCCTTTAAGAAATATAGTTAAACCATAATTAACCAATGTTTTCTTCATAACAATCCTTCCAAGAAAGAAAGATAGAAAGAGTAAGAGAGAGAAAGATAAAGAAAGAGAGAAAAAAAGAAAGAGAAAAAGAGAAAGAAAGAAGCGTAAAGAAAAGGAGGGTTATTGCAGTCTAAGACACTGAAAGATGACAGGGAAAACAATTAGGAATTTCAAGGAAATAAACAAACTAAAAGGGAACATAATTATAGTATACTACTTGACTCTGTAGTGGGAAAAAAACATGACCAGTACAAGAAGATACAGTCATAACAAAGTATCTACCCTGGGGGGTGGAAAAAGAAGTGAGATAGTGTAAAACAACAAAATTCTTATCATTATGTATTATAGTAAATAGATGATGTCTAAAATTATTAAATTGAGAAATATAAGCACAATAAAAGGGACTATTTTAAATTAAAAGGGAATTAAAGACCCAATGCATGGGCTTCGATTAGACAGACCAGCTACAAAGGCCATTTTAAAGACAACTAGGGCAATCTAAATATGTCCTAGGTTTTATATATGATATTAAGAAATTATTGCCAGATAAAGAAGTTGTGATACACACACACACACACACACAATGGAATATTATTCAACCATGAGAACCTAGGAAATCCTGCCATTTGCAACAACATGGATGCACCTTGAGAGCATTATACTAAGTGAAGTAAGTCAGACAGAGAAAGACAAATACTGTATGATCTTACTTGCATGTGGAATATAAAACAAAACAAAACAACACAAAAACCGGACTCATAGAAAAAGAGATCGCATTTGTGGTTACCTGAGGCAAGGGGTGGGGGACAGGGAAATCAGAAGAAGGTGATCAGAAGGTTCAAACTTTCAGTTACAAGATAAATAAGTACTAGGGATGAAATGTACAATACAATGACTATAGCTAACACTGTTGTGTGATATATATGAAGGTTGTTAAGAGAGCAAATCCTAAGAGTTCTCATTATAAGGAAAAAATGGTCTTTTTTTTGCTTTCTTCTTTTATTGTAGCTATACAAGATGATGGTTAACTAAAATTATTGAGGTAATCATTTTATAATATATATAAATCAAACCATTATGCAGTACACCTTAAACTTATACAGTGTATGCCAATTATACCTCAATAAAACTAGAAAAAATGAAAAACAAAATAAAATGGATTATTGTCATTTTTGTTAGTTGTGATAATATTTTGGCTATGCATAATATAGAATGCCATGATAACTTTAATATAAAGTACATAAGCATTTTTAAATACTTTACAGTTAGACACACAGCTACATTTAGAAAATCTTTAGACTTTTCTATTTGATTTTGAATCTGTATATGCATTCCTTGATTTTAAAATGTGTTGAAGTAATTTTGATAATATATCTCTGGATTAGTACACATTCAAGTCCTGCTTCTCAACCACCACTGTATTGTATAGTTAAAATTAATCTTTTCAAAGATGACTCTTGTTTTGCAAGATTCTAAGCTTTTAAAAAACAAATTTAATTATATTCAGTGCACTTTATTTAATTAGGCAAGAATGCAGACTAACAGAATTTTAAAGAGTTTTTCATTATAAGATTGAAACAAAAAAAGATTATGAGCTAGGGAATTAAATTAACCAAGTATTCGGGTTGGTTAACAGGCATGGTTGGTAAGCTTCAGTCAGACTAAAAATGCACATCTAACTAACTGTTGTGGGATAATGGTTAAGAACATAGCAAATGTGTTCAGAATACCAAGGGGACCCCTCTGTCTCTGTGACTGTTAGGGTAGGGGATACTGTGGGCATGACCTACTTTAAAAATGGACAAGATAAGCTTACATTTCAATGATAAAACTAATATTTTTAAAATGTATTTAACGGGGAGGGGGGGCACCTAGGTGGCTCAGTTGGTGAAGCATCTGACTTCAGCTCAGGTCATGATCTCAGGGTCCTGGGATCAAGCCCCACATTGGGTTCTGTGCTTAGCCGAGGGTCTGCTTGGCCCTCTCCCTCTGCCCCTCCCCTTGCTCGCACACTCTCTCTCAAAGAAAAAATAAATAAAATCTTAAAAAAATAAAATAAAATGTATTTAATGACTAAATGACTATTTAATGACTATACCAAAGAGAAAAATACTTCCAGAAAGATATTTCCGCCTAAGAAGCATGTGACACATAAAGTAAATATGGTTTTGGTTGGTTGGCTAACACTTTCATTACTTAAATCTCTTTTGCATTAGACATAAGTGAGCTTTCTAAGGTATAAGGTTGGATAGAATTTTTAAAAGTATCATATGAATCATAGGGAGAAATGAAGGGTCATCTAAAGAAAGACAACATTACATTAAAGCCACACCCTTCAGTTCATTTCAATGTCATATTAACACAGTCGTATTTTAATGTGGTGGGACAATGTTGACATGTAACTACTAATCCATTTAATTGGTTGGTTTTAATTCATTAATCAGTGTCATCAGTTACTAATCCTCCACTCAGTAAATAATTGCTGAGCATCTATATGCAGGTATATATATGCTAGGGACTCAGAATACAATAGTAAGCAAGACAAACGTGATCCCCATCCTCATGGAGTTTACATTCTAGTAGGAAGACAGCTATCAAACAGGAATTGAAATGAAACAGAATCAGTGTTTTTAGGGGAGAAGGAGAGGTAGGCCTCGAGAGCACATAGCAAGGAACACAACCATCTTCTAAAAATATCAACCAGGTGCTTCGCAGAGCTCTCTCTAGCCCACCCCTTCCTCAGGGTTGAAAATGCGAGAGTAAATGCAGAATCCCCAATGACTTGTGGCTACGCAGGAATACAGGACTGTCACAGTTGAATACATGATCCTTCTGCAGAGTGCTGTCTCCGTTAACAACATAGTTTATGTGGCTCATTTTCCTGGTAAACTCTTAGTAAACTTTGTGTGCCAAAGAAAGCTGGATGGGGTGTTTGCCAGAATTAGGGATGTGGGTTGACCGTGTGGATAGCTCTTCAGACAGGTCTAGGATCTGACATGACCCTGCCGCTAACCTGAATGTAGATACCAATATTGTAGCACCCAGTAATTGCAGAGAGACTGTTAGCATGAATCTGGAATACCTATATTACTTCCAAGCATTTGAGTTAGATGGATGGGGGAGGACCAGCTAAGCAAATTGTGAAATTTCTAACTGTAAGCAAAAACGTGGGTCTATCTTGTGAATCAGATTTGCATCGTATTCTAAATAACTGTTGTGTTTTGTTGTTTTGTTTTTTTTTTAATTTCAGAATGTCCTCATTGTTGAGGTAAGCTGACTTTTCTTTATCCATATTTGGAAGTTGAAAGAATCTAATGGTGAGTTTTGAAATAGCACTTATTATCAAATTGGTCAAGGATTTATTGAATTTCCACTGTGCGCGTGGCTCTCAAAATTTACTAAGAGCTAACTAGAATCAGTGGCCTGAAACAATTTAGAATAAAAGCTTTGCAATAATAGTTTCGTGGTACTTTATCCGTTTTTATGTCTAATTTCACACATGTCTAAATTGGTTCTTATACCTATTTGCGAATCAGGCATTTTTTACAAAAGAGGAAACTAGCCCCACAGAACCAAATATATATAATAGTAAAAGCAAGGTTTGAACTCTTTTCACCCTTGATTCAGTGTTCTTCCTAAGGAGCCCTAAGGACTTCAAACAATTCTACCTTCAGCAACGAAATCATAAATACAATCAATTTTCAAATGGCAATCCAAGAGAAGGTTATAATTTAATTTAATTTTTCTGCTAAAAAAAATGAGAGCGAACGGGCCCTGTGGTAGCAGTGGACTTAATACAGCACATGGCCACTTTTCCTTCGAGAGCACGCCTGTCTTATCAGCTGGCAAGAATTCAAGGGAGCTGTTTCAAGTTTTTGTTACACAAATGCCCGTGTGTGCCATGTGTATCTGCAGTCCTCCCGGCTCAGACATAACCCAGGAAGTAGACCCTCTAGCCAAATGAATTGCCCAACCCTGGCTAAATTCAGACCTGTTGTTTTGATAATCAGCTCCTGACAGCTGATTTCTGTCCCAAGGACAATACATTTCTGCTGCCCATGCTCCTCTAATTGTATAGCAGCTCATCAGCAGAGACGAGCCGAGGCTCACTGCAGCCTTGCACCCGCAGAATTCACAGGCTGTCACCAGCTGCCGTCCAGACACATCTCACTTCCAGCCGTAGAATCCCCTATTGAGTGGGGAGGGCAAGGGGGAGGTGTTTATCCATTCAGTGTATTCAGATGTATATCCCATGTCCATGAAAATTCATGCGTTCCGTATTGTGTTGCATAACCTCAGGGCCAAATTTGGTCCTTGAATGTGCATGCATGAGTCCCAATGTACTCAGTGAGCAGCCCCACATGCTCTCCAAAGGCCGAACTTAGCTTTCAACACAGCTCAAGGATTCCAAGAGGAAATATTCACCAATATATTCCCCTAAACCCAGCTTCCGAGAGAAGCACCTGTCTAAAAAATGTAACAAACCCTGCTTCCTATTTTGACTCCATCTGATGGCAATTCTAATTATGATGCATTATTAATAAGACATATAATCATCTGTCTGGATGCAAAGTCTATTATGCTGCCCAAATGCGCTCAGTTGAATGTGTTTGTCCTCTTTGCAAAGGATGTTGTTGGAACCGGGAAGACCATGCGAGCGCTGCTCAGTAGCATAGAGAAATACAAGCCCAACATGATTAAGGTAGCCAGGTGAGTAGGACATTCCCACATCATTGTTGTTGCTTCTGTGTGTCCAAATAAGCCCGAGAGGGATGCTAACACAGGATGTTGTCCCCAAAGAGAGCAGTCTATTCCAAACCAGTGACCCTGTGCTCCGGAGTGTTATGGCTTGACCACACTGAACAAATAGCCCATTTGATTGCTAGCCTGAGACAGAGGAAGGGGAAGAGGACATGCTTTGCCAGGTGTCTGAGCTTCTCGTTACTGTGCCTCCATTAGTAGCTTCCAGCTAGCGGAGCCTGGTGCCAGTGCCCCTCTCCCTTCCTTTTATCTAGAATCACTGATGTGGTGCCTCAGTAGCAGGAGCGTGAATTAGGGGCCCAGGATGGTGCCCCACATGCCGGGGCGGGGGGGGGGAATACATATTTTAATGATGTTCGGTTCTATTTGCAATTCACAGAAGTTTTATCTGGATCACTAAACACTTTTTTTTTTTTAATGGTAGTTTGTTGGTGAAGAGAACACCTAGAAGTGATGGCTTTAGACCCGACTGTAAGTGGTTTTGGTTTTGGTTGGTTGGTTGGTTGGGTGGTTGGTGGTGTCATTTCACATTGAAGAATCTCTGGTTTCCTATTTGCCGGCCTTCTGTGTGAAGCAGAAGCTGTAAAGGTTTCCTAGTCCCACAGAGGTCTCCCCAGCCTTGCCAATAGAACCCTTTTCAACAAGGATAGAACCCTTTACAACGAGGATTTTTCATTTCCCAGTTTGCGTTGTTCATGGAAACTCTGTCATGTGCATTGGATATTTTTGTGTTTAGGTTTTCCATAGCACCTTAAAGCCAAAGAACTCAGCTAATGGTTTTCAGGGGGTGGAGGGAGACTTGACCCCACCAGACTGGCTGACACGCAAGTTCCCTGCCTTGGCCGCTGCCCCTGTCAGTCAGACCTGGGAAGGCACTGTAAAGGCTTAGAGGGATTCTCATACTGTCTCCAGGAACCATCACCAGACAACGTTCGATGCCGACCAAAGAAAAGTTCAGTAACACAGAGAATTGGCCGAGCAGGTATCTTCAGATACCATCTTTGTGCTTGACTTCCTATGTTCTGGAGGATTTGGCTCATCCAGGGCACTTTGCTACTCTCCTCCCCATAATATGAATAGTTCCAATGCCAGGAAGAATAAACAAGCAGCTTGATTATTCGTTATTCTAACACTAGAGGTGACTTTTTTTCACTCACATAGGCAGACTTCAGCTTGATTTTTATAACTTACATTTGCTCTAAAGCCTCTGGGATCATTTGGCTACAGTTCTCATCAGCAAGCTGAAAAAACATCAGAGCAAGGGAAGCACACTATGGACGGGTAATGTGCCAGTGACATTTCGCAAGTGACTCTTTATCCTAAAAACAAGTTTCATGTATTAAATCTAGACAACATCAGTGCTGGGCAGATAGACCCAACAGCATGTCCCCGTCCAGTTACTGGCATGGGGAATATAATCTGGGTGCAGTAAGGTTAGGCAAAGTTAGTGAACAGAAATCTTCTAAGGAAATCATGGAAGATCCCATAGAGATAAGATTTTAACTGAAGTTGAAAGATTCACTTCAGATATAGCCAACTAATTACAGATTATTTGTCACTTACAGCAACAACATGAATAAAATAATGGCAGGTAACACTAGTAAGAGGTTACGATGGGCCCTACACTCCTTTCTAAGAGCGACACAGAGATTAATACATTTCATCCTTACAACCTTCATCCAAGGTAGTTGCTCTTGTTATGCCCATTTTACAGATGAGGAAATTGAACACAAGGTTCAATGGTTTTCAAAGGTCACGTTGCTGTAAGTGTAGAGTCAGTATTGAACCCAGGCAGTCTGGTTCTGATCACTGCCTTACTCTTGTACTACATCTGTAAGTAACATCAGCAAGTAAATGCACTCATTTTCCAGCTAGACATAGGTCACTCTGATTCCTAACCGTCCCCCTGATCTACTGATCCAGTGTCCTTCTTTCACTCCCTAACAGATCTAAAGGTTTGACCTTCTGAACTGGCTTTGCCCAGTCTCTGGCGCCATGCCTACTGTAGGCATTGCTCTGGTCACTGTGAAGTCATTACTGTGGTGACAACCCGGGTTCTCTGGGATTTACTAATATAGTAAAGTATCGTTTTAGCTGGTTCAGAATCTCTGTTTCTTCTCCCTAAACTTCTGAGGCTTGATACTTTTGGTTCCTTTCTCATAATTGATTCTTTCCCATATGCTCCATGACATCTTTTATATGTTCTGACATCTTTTCTTCTGCTCTTGCTTCTCCTCTTTGATTATTTTTCTCAAAGCAAGGTACAGTGTGGAGGGACCAAAGGGTGTTTCTATCAGTGACATATAATGCAATCCTCTAGAAAGTAAGTCCCTCTCCTCCGGCACTTTCTGCAAGAAGGAAGCAGTTGCCTACTCCATGTGAAAGCATCTTTGGTCATAGGAATCAAAATGGTGGTGAGTAGTCACCAGAGGGATAACTTTCTCTCCATGCTATAAGTCCATTGGCTATACCAAAGAACAGTTTCATAAAAGTAAGCGAGTACACCTCTCATCTGCAATGCTGGAATAAACAAACAGATTCAAAAAAAAGTGGAAAGAGTTTGAAAAACCACTGGACCATAGGCACATTTATTCTGTTTCAAGACTTCTGAAGAAGGAGCGCTACTGTCTGTTCCTTAAAGATTTTTTTCCGTAAAAATCATCTTCCTTTCAATAAACTTTTCCTTCATTTAACCTAAGTACCTCATACTGCATTTAAATCCTTTTACTACCATCCCTCCCACAATAGAGATTGAGAGCTAATTAATGTCATCTGTCTACTGGGTTCAAAGACTAGTGTTAGAATAACCCTTAGCGTTCTGTTCCTCAAACTGAACAATCCCACTTCTCGTCATCTGGTCTCCCAGGTTTGGCTTCCCAGCCCTTTATCCAGCTGAGGACACTGAGTGCAGTGGGAGAATGGGTTCCTAGTGATAACAGCCTGTGCACCTAGTCATGTAGTACAGGATTAGAATACTTCTGTCTGAACTGCACTTTATGCTTCCCAAGTATTTCCTTTGGCATTATAACATTGGATACTGCTTGCTTTGGAACTGCGGGGCTACATGACTAACTCATGCATATCTCTTGCTCTCCCCCAGGCTGGCTGAGCCCTTTCTCAGCTCTGTATGGTAGGAGTACAGCCATTCTTCCTTGTATGTTTGCTTGTCTACCTTGTCTCCCTGCCTAATCACTGTGGTCCAGGTCCTATTGGGCTCATCCTATGCATTGCTTATCATTTTTCTCACTTGCTTCTGCTTAAATGAAAGGTCCTCACAGTTTAAGTGCCAACAATAGCATATGGTGGCTTTCTACTCATGTTATCTACATTTTATTCCTTTTTTTTTTTTTCTCTCTCTCTCTCTCTACTCAGATGTTGGATTTGAGATTCCAAACTTATTTGTGGTGGGTTATGCCTTAGATTACAATGAATACTTCAGAGATCTGAACGTAAGTCATGCATGCAAATCCCTAGCCTCCTTTCACAAGAACTTAACAGCTATATGAATTTAACAAATTATTGAAATAGTAGTCATGATGGCTGCCACTTACTGAATATCTTCTGTGTCAGGAATATTCTGGGCACTTTGCATTCATAATCCCAGTTACAGTTGCATGCAGTTCATAACTATTCCCTTTTTGGAGAAATGGTTTCAACATATATACATGGACTTCCAGTGTAGACCCCCCAGCTGTGTGACCCTGACCAATGTTGAATGATTTAGAGGTAGACATCTTACCCGAAGTGGACCAATCATGTGTGTGTGTGTCTCTCTCTCCTAAGAATTAGAAACTTAAACCAAAAGTCACAGAAATCAAGAGGTTTTGGTCTTAAGCCACTGAATGGCAGGGCCCCAGAGAGAGTATCCACAAGCACCATGGACTAAAGTCAGGAGCTACCCCATTCCAGCCTTCCAGTTGCTTCATTGTGTAGCCCTTCCTTGGATTCTGTGAGCCACCTCATTAGCCTTGGTAGGCTATATTAGCCTATATTAACCTGACTCCACTTCTGTGCCTTGCAATCAAAATAGTCCCGACACATTTCTTGCTACCCAAAAAGGATCGATTAAGTCAATGTTGTGTTTACCACGGCTATTTCTCCATTCTCCCTAGAGGTGATAATGTTACCAGGTGGAGACTTCTATCTCCACCATGGCTGACCATACCCTCCTTCAGCCTTTCTGGTTGTTCCAGACCTAGGGAGCCAGATTTGGAATAGGGCTCAAAACTAGAACAATGAAGAAACTTTTTCAAGCATTCAATTGGGTGTCTTTAGATTTTATATACATGCACACACATAAATGCGCACACATATATTTGAATGAACAATAACCAATTATAAGATGACATTCTATTATTACTGCATTACATTTTCTGCACCCCTCCTATTTGGTTAAGAAACCGATTCATTTAAATCCTTTATTGTTTCAGCACATATGTGTGATCAATGAACATGGCAAAGAAAAGTATCGAGTCTAAAGGAGTAAATTCTCACCAACGAATCTCCAGATAACATCATACTTACGACTATAGTCGGAAAGCCAGCATGTAAAGTTTGTCTCCCCAGGCATCTTCACTCAGCAGGAGATAAAAGAAAAAAAAAATGTTTTAATGAGAGAAGTTTCTTTTCTGAGGTTATAACATAAAGAATACCAAAGGTTCTTAAGGAAAATTAAGCAGTGTTTTTATTTGACTTGCTCCAAATTAAATACTCCACCTTGTGACTCATGCGTTCTATCTACCTTCACACTCCAGAACTTCACCTTCTTTTATTCCGATACAGTTATTATGCTTGATGACTATACCCCCATCTAGTTACTCAAATATTTTTCACTTAACTTTTTTTTTTTTTAATATTCCATTTTGGTAATATTTTGCAATCTGGAGAAACTGGAAGCCTTTTCAGTTAAGCTCCGAACGCAAATCCTGGGAATGCAACTAGATTCCCATACTCAAAAAGGAGGGAAAGGACAATTTAATATAAATTTCTGTTTGTGCATTTCTGGCAGGCCATTACTATTTGCTTTGACAAAGCCTTTTTGAACTGTAGCATATAATGAATCTTAATGATGTTATGAAATGAGCCTTTGCTCAGTGCTGTTGATCGGAGCTTCCGGTATGTGATAACGGTATGTCATGCATGCATGGATGTACTCAACTGTGTTTAATACTCTGAATTTTAATTAGAAAAAGTACAATGGCAGCAAGGCCCTCGTTTCTAAGCTGCATCGTTTTATTCATGTGGGACATGAGCAAATGGCAGAATTCGTGGGGCGGGGGGTTCAATTCAAAACTAAGCAAGTATGAGTTTTTCCTCTTATTTACATCAAAGGACAAGACACTATTATATATTATCATCAACACGAACACAGAGGTTGAATTATTTTTTTGAGTGGTCTTAGAATCTGACAGCCGACAGCCCAAGGCACCACAGAAAACCAGCACACTTAAGAAAGTTGTTTTCTGAATAACATTTTTTCCATTTCCACTGTTTTATGAGATGTTTTCTAATTTATGGGGATTTTAATTGAAAATGAACTCGAGTGCCAATAGAACTGTTTTCTTCTCACTTCCTAAAAGGAAAAAATGCAAAATAAATAGCTAAGCAGCCTTTGTTTGGTTCTGAACCATTTGTGACATATTATTATCAGGTTCTAGCTTCCTTTAAACTAATAAAGAATAAAAAACCTTGTTACGTTTCATAACTGCTTACTGTTTTTCTTCTGCCTTCATATTTTTTATATACTTTCAGCCCTTAAAATGCGTGTGAGCCAGTAGCTTAAATATACTACTGCATATATCTTTCCTGGGGCTTTATTTTTGTTAACCTGGAAAAAATCCAATACATGCGCTAGTATAAGCAAACGATTAAGCCAGACTTGATCTACTGCTTTTCTTTTTTTCTCTCCTTGTAAGACAAAGAATTTTAGTTGTAAAAGATTTTCCTGACTATCTTTGTTCCAGGCAGAGAAGAAAATAAACCACACCCAGAAAGTGAGAAACCAGCCAAGGGAATTCCTTTTAGCTTTGTTCCATAGAAGAATCAGTATCCAAGTTAGAGATTGAAAATTCTAATTGGCCAGTTTCTTGAATCATCAAATTCGTGTTCTAAATACAATTTCCACTATGCCACCTTTATAGGAGGGACCTAGAAAAACCCAGATACATTTGATTATAAGTATAAAATTATCCATAATCTTTATTAAAATATTTTCTTTAGAATGTTGAATTTTAACAAACATCAGCGTAATTTTTGAGGACTGTATGTTTATTTGAATTAGGAAGGAAGTTGATCTACTTCACAAGATTTTGAGGAGGACTTGTGCTAACTAATGCTGAAAAAGAAAAATCCATTAAATACACAAGAAGTTTAATCATTCCTGCAATTTTTTTCCTATCACACAATATTTTGACAGTGATATCCAAGAATGTCATCTTGGGAAAAATAGTATTTCCTCTTCTCTTGCGAAACTCGAATCTATTTAATACCACTGAGTTTTTTCAATCCAGACCAAAAATGTGAAAACTCATAACCAGATTAGCAACCGATGCATTTATTAATGTGGTGTTCCAAAGCTGATTGGTCGGCGAAGGGGGAGACAAGTGTGTGATATGTTTTATTTGGATTCAGTTACAATAATTAGTAATACTTTTACTACAGTAATATAGTAACATAATCAGTAATATTTTGGGATATTCCAAACAAATTAGAATCCTTCATTATAAATTGGTTCTTACTTACTAGATTGGAATGTATCCAATATTGAACCATGCACTCCCAATGTGAACTGCAAATAGTCAAATCTTGATGCACCTTGTTTAACCTTTGGATGTCTTTGGATATAACATGGTTTACCATGTTTCAGCCCTTCTGAGACTATTTAAAAAAAAAAACCAAAACACACCTTTCAGAGCACAAGCAGGTATTTTTTTCAGCCTCCCATGAGATGAACTTGTGTTTTCCCAGTGGAGAGAGAAGGTGACCTATCCCACTTCTAAAGAACTGGTGTCATGGAAATATTTCCTCACTTTTGTAATAGAGGTAGTATGTTCTAGGAAATCGAAACCCTAAATCACACTCCCCACCCAGATGTCTGGCTAATCTGGGCAAAAATAGCGTTTGGGAGTTGTCATTATTTGCTATCATAAAGTTCCTTTGGGATCCCTAGATGACACTTGAAGGCTGGTGGACAGGCTAGTTTCAGGAGGGGAGCAAAGGGGTTGTGGAAGGGAAGTTTGTGCATTGATGCTGGGGTGCATGTGGAGGAGGGACAGAAGGTGTATGTGGAGAAGGCTGCTTTGTTTCTTGGCCAAACCATACCCCAGGATTGGTTCTGAACCCCGTGGAGAGAAGGAGACAAAGACCCTGACTGAAAGAGCTGTTTTCATGGTAACCTTTGGGCCACACACTAGGATAGACAAGCCTTTCACATTTCACTGAGGGTCATGCATAGTCCATTCCAAAAAAAAAGATGTTTTTGCCATGTCTCAGTCCAAAGGACCCCCTTTTCTGACTTTTTCAGGGTGGGCTTTGCTCAGAGATAAGTAGGAGAGACCGAGAAGACAGAGTGGGATACTGAAGTCCTGCATTTTCTAAGTGGGAGAAATAAGCCTGAACTAATGTTACTATGACTTTGTTTGTATCCAGAGCCTAATGCGTGTTGACTAGTGAATAAGCTTCAAATGAGGATGGGGAGTGTAGACGACTCACTCAAGAAACCTGGCTGTGAAGACCAGAGACACATAACCATAGCTAGAGGGGGAAAGACTTGTACATTTTTATTTATTGTGGAAAACAAAAAACAAGTGAACAAAACAGTAGAAACAGCGTATTCATTATCAATTGCTCTGTAACAAACCATTCCCAAAACTGAGTAGCTTAAATGAACAATAATTATAAATTTCTCAGGGCTTATGAGAATTAGGAATATGGAGCAGGCACTGTGGGGATGGTTTGTTTCTGCTTCGTGATGTCTTTTGCTTCAGCTGGAAGATTCAAAGGCCAAGGGCTACAACCAAGTGACGATAAATGGTCCAGTGTGGCAGCCATTAACCACATGTACTTGTTTAAATTTAAATTAACTAAAATGAAATAAAATTTAAAATCCACTTCCTCGTTCGCATTTGCCACATTACCACTGCTCAACAGCCTCATAAGGGAGTAAGTTACCGTATTAGCACAAACTTAGAAAATTTCCCCAATCACAGAAAGTTCTATGGGTAGCTCTGATCTGAAGGTTTGCCTGGTGGTTGATATATTGGCTGCTCGCTGGAACCTTAGCTGAGCCTGTCAGTTGGAATTCTGTGTGGTGTCTCCATGCGGTTCAAACTTCCTCACAACATGGCAGCTGGGTTCCAAAGGCAAGTGCGAACAGAGACAGAGACAGAAGCAGGCGAAAGCCATACTGCTTCTTATATGACAGGCTCACTTCCCCCACATTCTGTTAGTCAAAGCAGTTACAAAGACTTGTCTGACATTAAGGGGAGAGAACATAGACGGCCACCGCTTGATGGAAGAACATTGTAAGACAATTGAGTGGGGTAGGATGTATATGTCTCTGGCCATTGTCAGAAAGCTGGAGATGAAAGGTTATTCCCCTGCACATTTTCCACTAATGAGATTAGTGAAGAAGCCAATTATGCAGTGGTCATAATGCATAATTGAAAACACACCTGCTTGCCTAGATTTTTAAGAATGACAGAATACTGGGGCACCTGGGTGGTTCAGTCGGTTAAGCGTCTGACTCTTGATTTTGGCTCGGGCCATGATCTCAGGGTTGTGAGATCGAGCCCCCCCAAAGTGGAGCCTGCTTAAGATTCTCTCTCTTCCTCACCCCCTGCTGCTCCCCCACCTCAAAAAAAAGACTACTACTACCTAGCCACATGGGGAAATATGAAACGATAAAAAGAACACCAGAGTAGCCCACCCCCCTTGATTATAAAGGTAGAAATACGTTTTCCCACTGATAGTGTTTGGACCAGATTAAGAAGACTTTGAAAGAGCAGTTTTATTTCTTTTATTATTAAGGTGCTTAAATTTGAAATATAAAAACCATAGTAAAATAGTTTTTGCTTGCCAAGTATTCTGTAAATGTAAATTCATGCTGAAACTTTAGGAGTAGTTCCATTTTTATAGGAAGAAATTGCCATATAATTTGGCCAAGAAACTAATCCAGAATGGGACTTCCTATATATATTTATATAACATTATGCTGGAAATAGTACTCACCAAATCAATTAAAAACAACAAATCACTGAGTACTAACCAACAGGGCTTTACGATGAAAACTGCTCTGTCCGATTTATCTAATCTCCTAATATTGAATGACAGAGCTGGTTGACTGGAAAAAGGAAGTACTGTAATTTGTCTTATCTTTATTTGAACAACGCTTTTGGTTGTGCCGCGTGAAGAATATTCATCAATAGCCTGGGAAAATGACTTACACTACCTAGCTACTGGGTGACTGCGTGAATCTTTACCGTTGTATTTAAAAGAGATCTAACATGAGCATAACAAAACACATTGTGAAAGACTGGAGCCCAGACACTGAGTGTGTTGACATTTCACAAAAGATCTGCCTGCAACTACTGTGTATCGTGGGCTATACAAAAACTTGACGATAACCCAATTTAGTATTTAGCATGAAACCCAGAGGTAGGAACTGCCATCTCCATTTCAGAGATAAGGAAATGAGTACTAAAGAGATTAAATCACTTACCCAGGGTCACAGAACTGTGTTCAAAACAAGAAATTGAACCCGTGTTATTAGAGTGCTGAGTCAGTACTCAGTACACAGGGCCGAGTTCATGGACCGTGTAGAAAGTGCGTCCGTAGACTTGCAGGTGACAATCTGAAGAAAGAATGGTGTGATATAATAATATGTTTGGTGGTTGTCCCTGGTTCCTGGCACAGAGTTCCTAAAACCCTTGGAATTTCCAAAGTAGGGATAGGATCTTTTGTTACTCTTAACAAACCCCTTTTATCATACCCGAGTTTATGCTAAAGAGGTGACTTAGAGTGGGACCCCTCTAGATAGCCTGGGGATGGGGCTGGTCACCAGAAAGACCAGTGACTGGAAGGTTGGAACTTCCAGCCCTGCACACGGACCTCTGGGTAATTATGCAACTGGCTCTCATTCGCTACAATTTTTATGCATCTACATTCAAATATGAAAGAGTCCAATAATTTTCTTCTATTATTTTTATGTGGTTTTGGAATCAGGATTATTTTAGCTTCAAAAAGTGACATCAACTTTTACTTTTCTTCCATTTTCTCAAACAACTTGCGTAAGATAGGAGTTCTCTGTATATTGACATTGTTAGGACTTAAAAATTCTCAATGTGTATATAGACATTTCTTCTTTTTATTCCATATTTTACTTGCTTCTAATACTTTTCTTCCCCCTGCCCCAAAGAAACCACTTTAACTTTGTTCATGTTCTTCTAGTGGATTTTCTTTTCCAGGCTGGTGTACCCATCTTCCAGATTCCATTGAGTATTGGCTGCTACAGTCCCCCGTCGCCCCTTCCCTCCTTCTTGGAGGTCTACACCCTCCCCAAGGTAATCACAACCAATGACTTGCAGACATGTGAGCACCACTAAAGCCCAAGTGGGACTCTCTGATGTGATTCATGCTCTAGAACTCCCTGGGGGATCAGGCTGAAGTTCTGCACATCCTTGCTTAGCCTCTTCTGTCCCCGCC